TTATTTACAATAGCCACAGACATACTTTTCATATAATGAGTATTCTCAGTTATGTTTACTAGAGAATATAGTTTATAATTAAATACAAGTTTGTTGGTGGGTTTCATACTTTTCTTCTTTGTGTCCAGCGTAATACGAATGGAAATATTCATACATATGTATACAGTGAAAGAAGACGTGAAGTTTAAGTCTATTTAAATATAACGTCTTTTCTATGATTAAAATGAGTTGAGGTTAATATATAATTTTAAATTATTGAACACACTAGTATCAGAAGAAAATTGAGAAGCAATTTATTTTTGAGAGAGATGTCTGATTGCTTTCAGTTGCTTAAAAGATCATCTGTAATTGCATATTAGTAAGAACAGATACAGTAGAATGGAGTTTATTCGAGAAAAGAGTTCCTCTTCTTACGACTTCCCTTCTAATGATATAAATCGCTGGGGAAATTGATTTATGACCACACATCTGTTAAGCTATTATTTTATTATAAAAGATACTTTTGTGTAACATGATCTAAATTATAAAATATTCCCAATTAGTGTTGCACCCAATAATGTGATAAAGCACCCATATTGAAAGAAATGATTGACGGTCATTTCAGGTATTTTCTAACATACAGTTGAGAATACAATAATTGTCAGGCAGTCAATCAGCTATAATTAACATAAAGCATGGGATAGATGTGCTTTGGGTCAAGTTGGCACACCACATTAGTAAAACAAGACCAAATTAAAATAACATATATCAATGACCGACATTATGTATTAGCAGTAATCATAATGAGAAAAAAAGCAGAATGGAAATATAAGTATGAATAAGTGCTGGAACTGAAGACCTAGAGAAAGATAAAATGTAAAGCCACCTTTACCATTATGACTGATTCTGAACTATGTAATCAATTGTCTCTACCCACTGATAGGAGTCGCCATGTGGACTAGCTACAAGCTTGGTTTAAACCAATGACTTCATAAACTGACAGGAAGTTTTGGTTTATCCACCATTAGCTTTCTTCCAACTTATCAGCTTACACTGTCCATCGAGGTATGTGATGTTTAAACAAACGTGTTCTGTAGAAACAGGTGTCTACCTCAATACAATGGAAGATGGTCGCACAACTTCATGGATTGGTTGAGGTTAGACATTAACATAGTTGGATGCTGACCGGCTCAATGGTCTAGTAGGTTAAGCGTTCGAATCTCGCTAGCGGGATCGTGGATTCGCGCTGCTGAGGAGTTCCACAATAGGACGAAAAAACCGTTCAGTACTTCCAGCTTTTGAATGGTGATCTAACATTAATCGGTTCATGATCTTAATCAAAAACGTCATACATGTCTGAGCTATTTCAGCTGACGAAGATTCATTATTTCACTAACCGATTTTCCACATTTACATAATACTTTATGCGTCATTACTAATTATTGAGTCGTTTAACACTAAGAGACTAACACTTCTAAGACTTTAGTTGTATATTTCTAAAATTATTATTGTTATTATAACATTCTATTCTCTGTTTTGTTTCTTATTTCTTATTTCCATTAATCAATCTTACACATTAATTTTGCAAGTTTATTGACGGTATTCATTTCCTTAAATTTCCCCACATACATACAATAGTTAGTTCTGATTAACATCTTTGCAATAGATAAGTACTTCCGTTCCACTCATAAAAAAGTGTATTTAAATATGTTGAACAGAATCAAACTATACATTGGTTTGTATATTGTTCAAAATGATTTATTATAATGATTTGTTTATTCGGAAGGATTTTTTACCGCTTAATGGATAAGTCCTGAAGAAATGAATCAATAAATGAATGAATAAATCAGTCATCTATTATAGGCGTTTTAGCCGGTATTCCTTTGACAATAAAAAGAAGTATTCATAATGTATTCACTGCTAAGTTTGAAGCTATTTTCTTTTATGTATACAGTATAGTGAAACGGAAACGAATGATGCAAAAAAAAAATATATGTACATCAATGTTTGAGAAAAAGTATATGTAGACAAGTGAAAGCTTTTGTATATATGTAATGAGACAATTAAGGATAACTGTACAGTGAGTATGTTGTTATTATCTTGTTACTTAGTTGTTGCTTTAATCCAAGATTATAACGATAATTTATGCTGAAGAGATATGCAGTACAGACGGTGAATTCGTATATACTGATATTTCAATGAAGGATAGTCTAAATAAATGTTCGAAACAACAGATAAAATGCATATAGATAGGTGTGTTAGAAGTCAGGCGAATGAGTGATGATATAAAGGAGAACTCATAGTGCAATAAATAGCATACAAGTTTGATGACCAATGATCAATATGACACGTTGAGTAAGAACGAAGAAATTTTCATAATTGTTTAAAAAACATTTTATAGTCAATTGCGATGATTTGTGCAGTTTAGATGAAATTATTAGTTGTAAATAATGACGAACATTACAATTGGCTGATTCTTGGGTTGTGATCAGTGACATGTACGTCAAGTCCTTTGCAGTGCAGATCGAAATCTATCGACCAAGTTACAATATGGTCATCAGTCTATGTGACTCGACATCTCATGCACTATGTTGAGATGAGATGTTGGTTGTGGGTAGTTGACAAAAAACCCAGGATCTAGGTTTCGAGATATTTGGCACTTGTTAGAAAAGTGGAATAAGGAGGGACCTAACACACATAAGATTGATCACTACCCAATGATTAATCAATTGGAAATACATCTCAGTCCTACAGAAGACCAATCGCGATCTGGATAGCTCAGTGGTAATGTCTCTGAATGTAAAGCTAGTTGACACGGGATCGAAGCATCAGCTCCCTCAATATTACAAGTACATCTTGCTGACGAGTGTCAAATATCATGAAAATTTAGCCACCATCTAATGAGAAATATTTTTACAAATTAAATCTAAATTACCATATATAGAGTAATAATAATAGAATACATTAATATTTATCCGGCTTCTTGCGAAACAAAATATTTATCCGAGTAGCAATTAATCGATAAGAGGTTTTTAAGATCGAACATGTTGATATTTTGCATAAGAAGTGTACTACCATTTTGTCTTTACTTGAATCAGAAAGCTTCTTATTTATAAAATTAACTTCTGTATTCATAAATTGACAAGATACGGTCGAAGAAGGTGCTTCGAGATCAATAGGCCGGATGTGGTAAGGATCGGTCGTGCACAAACCAAATCAAGGCATTACGGATCATCGTTGAACAATCAATTGAATGAAACTCGTTAATATACATCAACTTACTTGACTACGAGAACGAGTTTGACACTGTGGATAAGAGAACTTTGTGGAAACTTCTTTGAAACTATGGTGTCCTTGAGCGGATCGTCAACATCATACGGAATTCATACGACAAACTACAGTTCAACGTCGCGCTTAGAAGACAGCTGACTGATATTCAAGATACTCAATGTCCGTTGGTCGAACACCATCAGCAACAACCTGCTATGAGAAAGGACAAACCAGCTTCTAGCTGAAGAGGAAATTAGGAAAAGGCGTTGGAAGTGGATAGGACATACATTGTGGAACTCCACACACTGCATCACGAGGCAAGCGCTAACTTGTAATCTTGAAGGAAAATGGAAAAGAGGAAGACCGAAGAACACATTACGTCGGGAATCGAAAGCACACAAGAAAAGAATGAATAGTAACTAGAAACAACTGGAAAGGATTGTCCAGGATAGGGTTGGATGGAGAGTGCCGGCAGGCGGCCTATGCTCCTTCACCAGGGTTAACATGCGCAAGTAAGTATGGTGGAAGAATAAAAGTTTTACTGATAGTTTATTAATCATAGTAGCTGGTGTTTAGAGACACATACCTACGATTATCAGTCAAAACACCATTAAGAATTCTGGTTAGAAATTTAACCAGCAACTCAGTGATATAGTCTCATTGGTTACTTGGTAAACGTATCTAAATATCAATTACCGAGAAAACAGTTTTTCTAACAGATAACCTTATAGTTTACCATTTAATTCTGACTTGGTAATCAGATCCAACGGTACGAAGTGTAATCATTTATTTTAATAACTTTGACTAATTCCTAGAATTCATTATCTATCCGAATTATTTATGAAATAAAAAACATCTGTCTTTTATTGATGTTGTATTCTATGCTGCTTATGACTGACTAAGCTAGATGGCTTAATAACAAATCTTTCATTGTTGTCCTGAACTATATCATCAACGCCTACATCATAGTGAATACTGTATAGATTTCTAAAATATTTTATCAATATCAACACATCATAACAAAATGAATTTACTTTCTTAAGTAATATTCCTATTGAATTATCATAAAAGAATTGGTGTTACATACTACTTCTATCTGTCGACATAAGTAGCATACACTACAGTAGATGTATCATATCTTCATCAATATCGTTCTTGTTTGTAGTCTTATCGTATAATTTAAGTGAGTCAGTATTTACAAAATTCAGTTTACTAACATTTAATTTCCATGCAAATATTCATGTACTTTCTTTTTACCATTATTATGAACATGTATTTGTCAACATTAAGCACATGATTTACACGTTTGTGCTATTGATTTATACAATGAATACTATTGTTATACTCTGTATACGGTCATATTCATCTAATCACAATTAAAGTGATTGATTATTAGGGTAGATTTATTTCAAAACGGAGTAGGGTTCATAAGCGATAGCAAATATATGGTATAATTTGGTAATTAGTAAGTCTGATTAAAAATGATTATCACATAATGAGGATTTGTAGAGGACGAAACAGTCGTCCAGTGTTAATAGGTTTTCAATAATGGTCTAATTTAGATCGACTCATGAATTCAACTATCAAAAATTATTAATCAATCAAATAGTGATTTTAAACAAACATGGTTCATAAATGAGCTAAATGAATTTATCAAGGATTTTCAGCAATTTTACCTAACTATGCAAAATGAAAAACAGAAAAAGGTTTAAAGATTGATGAGAAAATGGCTATGAAAAAAACTATTTTGTATGAATTCGGATTCTACGTATCAATTCTTACTATCATCATCATCATCATCATCATCATCATCATCATCATCATCATCATCATCATCATCATCATCATCATCATCATCATCATCATCATCATCATCATCATCATCATCATCATCATCATCATCATCATCATCATCATCATCATCATCATCATCATCATCATCATCATCATCATCATCATCATCATCATCATCATCATCATCATCATCATCATCATCATCATCATCATCATCATCATCATCATCATCATCATCATCATCATCATCATCATCATCATCATCATCCAAATCATCATCATCCAAATCATCATCATCATCATCATCATCATCATCATCATCATCATCATCATCATCATCATCATCATCATCATCATCATCATCATCATCATCATCATCATCATCATCATCAAATTTGATGGTCACCAAACTCCTTTCTAATAAATACCAATCAGCATAGTTGAATAGTAGGTAATTATTTCAGTGTTGAAGTACTTATAACATAATTGAAAAGACAATTTAAAGATAAATATGATAATTCTATTTATGTTGGTTAGAAATTGACCAGTAATTATGATAATTATAATAATAGGAGTTCTAAATGTAAGCTATAAACAAATCTATGTTTTCAATGTACGGATTTTGGTTCACGCATATATTTATGCTTTATAAACATAACTATGCTAAATTTTCGATATCCGAGGAAACAATTAACTATTTTATGTTTGAAAACTATTGTTATTCACAGAACAAGATATTTCTGTCAACTTGAGATAATTTAATTCAATTCATTTAACATTAAAATTAGAGATGCTTCCAAAAGGGGGTCTGCGCTAAGAATGTTCATAGAACATAACGCTAACAATTTTTACAAGCAATTAAGTCTATTCTAACATATCTTTTACCACTGAGTATATTCATGTTTAAAAAATGTAGGAAGAACAAAGTTATAAGTTAATTTCTAAGCTTAAAGTTATACAAGTTATTTATTAAGCTTTATTTGACCCATTGTTTAATCAGTCAATTTGCGTATAACATGATTATCATTCAGTGCTATCAGGGACAGTTGCCTTAATTTTCATTGAAATTATGAACCTATCTCAGTTAGACCACCATTGAAACCTGGATGTACTGAGACGGCATTCGGTAGTAGTATGGAACTATTCAGTAGTGAGCGTCCACGACCAAGTATACAGGAACCGAACTAAGGAACTATGATCCTGTCCGCGAACACTTAACTTGTAGACAATCCAACATGGTTTTAGTTCCATTGGTCGTGGCTCCCCACTAGAATTCTTAAAATTTCTTCTTAATGCTTTATCTTTGATGTGATTTATCTTATAACTGATGGCTTAATAGTTTACATTTATATCATTCTGTTTTTAAAAGGACTGTTGAAAACAATAATAAAAATTAAGAAACGGAGGATCTCATTGCCACGGTTACCACTATACGTATATCGTACTTACAGAATGTGATGAATCCTAAGATCATTCACTGGTTATCATTACAGATCACATAATGTAAAAAGGAAACCAATTTGATCAATAAAATGAATAGAAGATGTATAATACTATAGTTTTATATATATTTACCCTAAAATAATCTATTAAACACTAATAACAACTAACTGACCATTGAAATTTACCCACAAGACATATTACTAGCATCCAAAAAAAATCATAATCAATTCAGTTGAATTTGGTCAATTTGAGATAGGACATAACAATCTATCAATTTCCAGTACAATTCATTTATGATACCAAATTAGTATCAGAAGGGGTTTTGTAGAGAATGTAGTCATTCCAATAGTTGAGATCATAAATCAATTGAAGCCAGATCATCATGGAAAACGTGAAAGCACTGGACGGCCATTTCGTCCTACTTGAGGACTCCTCAGCAGTGTGTATCCACCGTCGCTCCTCGCGAGAGTCGAACACTGGACATATCAGTCTCGCGAGTGAACGCTTAAACTCTAGATCACTGAGAAGGCATCCAATGGTGCTAAAGTCTAATTTTAACTAATCCACAATATTGAGTGACACATCCACCACTTTCATCAGTGGGTTACTATCTCACAACAGACCCGAATGAACTCCACTGATCACTGCTTCTCACTAGAAATCTGGGAAATACCTTTTGAAGTCAGTCACTAGTGAGTATATGTTGATTAATATCAGAAGTTAGGGGTTTTGTGGAGATTTTAGTAATTTCAATGGTTAAGATTATGAATTAATTAAAAGCTAGACCATCTTGGAAATGTTAGAAGCACTGGACGACTGTTTCATCCTATTGTGAGACTCCTCAGCAATGCACATCCACAACTACACCAAATTCATTTAATAATATCTTAATTTATTTATTAAATTAATATATACTATACTATTTACTGACATAGATTACATAATATTGAATGACCTATATTTAATTTTTATATAATCTATTAAATTTTATAGTCATAAATAAAACCATCATAAAACTGATTATATAATCGATAACGAAAAAAAAAACATTGATTTTTTTTAAAAAAAAGTTAATTAATATTGTATTTACACCCCATATAGTGTAAATTAAATTTATTGGGTCATTAAATTGAATTAATCATTATTTTCGGTTACTAACTCATGATCTCAGTAAATGAACAGAAAAAAATCAATAAGAATCAATAAAATGATATTTAGGTTTGTTTTCTTTTTAACACACGCATATATATATATATATATATATATATATATATATATATATATATATATATATATACGCACCCCCCACAAAAGAGAGTTAAAATGATAGTGTTTAATGTATATAATACTTAAATTAACCCAATTCTTAAATTTTGATCCTGATAACTTATTTCATATTAATGATCCTTAATCTTGAAATCTTGAAATCTTTAGTCTTAATATTAAATCAGAAGGGGTTTTGTGGAGATTGTAGTAATTTCAATCATTAAGATCATGAGTCATTTGAAGCTAAGCCACCATGGAAAACCTGAAAGCACTGGACGGCCGTTTCGTCCTATTGTGGGACTCCTCAGCAGTGCGTATCCACGACCCCGCCCCCCGCGAGATTCAAACCCAGAACCTACTGGTTTCGCGCGCGAGCACTTAACCACTAGACCACTGAGCCGGCTGAGCTGAGGAGTCCCACAATAGGACGAAACGGCCGTCCAGTGCTTTCAGGTTTTCCATGGTGGTCTAGCTTCAACTGACTCATGATCTAAATGATTGAAATTAATATTAAATATTTAACTGTAATCGAGATCAGTTTTTAGATTTAATGAAATTCAACAATTTTCACAATTATTATAAACAATGATGATAGTAGCTAGTAAAGGAATCCCATTTGGAACATCTCATAACTGTATATTGAAAATATAAGGATTTCTAAAATCTATGTTTATATACTTATAAAGGTCTAACATAATACATAATCTATATCTAAATGAATGAATTTATGTGTTGTTATGCAATTATTTATAATTTATTCATATATTTTTTGATATTATTATTTTTAAAGATAAATAATAGCTAGTAGTGGAATCCAAGATGCTCGTTTCGTTCTATTTCAGACTTGTCAGCTGAATCTACTTGCATTTCAGAGTTGATGTTCACTTTAAAACTCGAAACTAGTATCGTTCGTTTCAAACGTTATCGTGCTATTCACTTAGCTACTAAGTTCTGATAGCCACTTGCTTGTGCAATGAGGTGAAATTTATTGATTAATTATAGTCTTAAGCATTAATACGAAGATTCAAGTAAACAATACCAAGTGAATTTTACTACTATTCTTTTATCAGAAGGACTTTTGTGGATGTTATCGTAATTTCAATGGTTCAAACCATGAGTCAATTGAATCTAGACCACCATGGGAAATCTGGGAAGCATTAGATAGTCATTTTGTCCTATTGCGGAACTCCAGTGCTTCCAGTCTTTCCATGGTAATTTAGCTTCAATTGACTCATGATTTCAACCATTGAAATTATGATAGTATCCACAAAACCCCCAAATTCTGATATTAATCAACATATACTCACTAGTGGCTGACTTCAAGAGGTATTTCCCAGATTTCTAGTGAGAAGCAATGAACAGAGGAGTTCATCCGGATCTGTTGTGAGATAATAACTCATTAATGACAATGGTAGATGTGTCACTCAATTTTGTGGGTTGGTTGAAGTTAAACATCAACACCTTTAGATTCAATCCGCCTCAGTGGTCTAGAGTTTAAGCGTTCGCTCGCGAGGATCGACGGTGGATACACACTGCTGAGGAGTCCTAGAGTAAGACGAAATGGCCGTCCAGTGCTTTCAGGTTTTCGATGATGATCTAGTTTCAATTGACTCATGATCTCAACCATTGAAATTGTTATTTTCTTATTAATAAACTATTCATTTACACATTATTTTTTTCTGTTTGGTCAAGAACTAGGTGAAAGTACGTCAAGACTGGTATAAGCTCATCCTTATACTATAATATATACATATACTCTTATCAAAATTTTCTGGCATAATATGTGCCATTTATAATCTTATGTCATAAATGATTGATTAGCTAAATTTACTTGAAAAAAATAATCTATTAATATATATATATATATATATATATATATATATATATATGAGTTACAGTTTAATGATTTATTATATCTCTTTGATAATGGTCATAATCCAGAACACATTTATTTAATACTTAAGATCATTGATATGATTAGGGATAATACATAATGAATGATAAACACTAACATCATTGGATGCTTAGTGGTCCAGTACGCTAAGCGTTCGCACGCGAGACTGAAGACCTTGGGTTCGAGTCCCACTAGTGGGATCGTGGATGAGAACTGCTGAGGGGACCAAAAAAGGACGAAACGGCTATCCAGTGCTTCCAGGTTTCCAACGGTGGTCTAAAATTAATCGGTTTATGATCTCATTCATAATGAATGAAGAGTATAATTTTATAAAAGATTCTACTAGTTAATAAGTCATGAAGGATATAGTTATCCTATTGAACAAAGAATAATTTATATCATTTGATATAAAGTTTTTAATAATAATATTTGATATAGAATACAAATTTCACTTGATATTGTTTATATGAATCTTCTCATTGATGTTTTAGGACTACAATTGATCAGTCTCTTATTAGTATGTGTGTATAATGTGAGTATTGCCTAAATATTGCGTTAATTCAAAAGCATTATAAATATAGATGGATAGTGGCTAAGAATTTAAACTTCACCCCATTGCACAAGAAAATCGCTATCACAACTTAGTAGCTTAGTGGATAACACGATGAAGTTTGAAGCAAACGGTACACAGTTCGAGTTCTAGAATGAATATCAACTCTGAGATGTAGGTACATTCAGCAGACTAGTTCGAAATAGAACTAAACGCGCAACTTGGATTCCACTGCTACTTATCAATGTAATTCTCTAATAATAGAATTAAACAATAAGGAAATTCAA